AGGGTAACAAATTGTGAACATCTACTCAAGTCATGCTCGAATGGCTTACAATCTTCAAAAGTAACTTAAGTACATCTACAGAAACAGATAAGTAAATATACTCATTGATAAACTTTTAACTGATTATTCTCTCCTACAAAAGGTTTTTATATTGACATTAATAGACGTAGGTGAATTTGCCACTCGATTCGGGTATTTCCAGCACCGATTCGCCTAGGAATCTGTTCCACATACAACTCAACCAGCTCTATCGAATGGTATCCTCAGATTTTCATTAGCTCAAAATAAAATTTTCAAAGCTCTCTAGCCTAAAACAAAATCTCAAAAATTTTATTTTGAGCTACCAGAAATCTGGGCATACCATTCGATAGAGCTCGTTGAGTTGTACTTGAAACAGCCGTTGGAACAATCGGAATAGGGCTCTGGAAAAATCAGGTCATGAAATTTCACTAGCAAAAATCAGTATTTTGAGACTTTTGGGACCCCACTTTGAGCTATGGAAAATCTGATTGCACCGTTGGATAGAGTTCGTCGAGTGCTACTTCAAACAGAACTGAAACATTTGGAACAAATTCCTAGGCGAATCGCTGCTGAAAATACCCGAATCGGGTGGCAACTTCACTTACGTCATTAATAGGCCAGTTACTAGTAACTGATGATTTATGACTAACATAAAAAAGTCGATTTCAAATAGCGTCGTGACTGTTATCGGTTTTTTTTATATCACAATAATAAGCTTATTTGACAAGGAATTTATTAGTGCAATTACTACTGCCGGTTCGCCATGTGTTTCATAGCCATTCTTCCATCGCTAAACAAGCTACACTGAAAAAAACAAAATGATACGATACCGAACCAAAAAAGGTACTTTGAACGAAAAAATGCTTTCGTACATAGTGCGAAACCTTTTTAGGTTCCGTACTATGTACGAAAGCTTTTTTTCGTTCAAAGTATCTTTTTTGCTTCGGTATCGTACCATTTTGTTTTTTCAGTGTACGTGTAATGCATAATATAATGTCACATCAATGAGTCACTTCTGTGATCAGTGGAAAGAGGAAGAGGCATGCAATATATATAAAGGTGAAAAGAGACGGAATGATTTTGAGAAGAGAAATATTGACACTTTTACAAAAGATAACCTTACATAAAAGACTCTGATAGCGACTGTAGTATCGACGGAAGTGAAACCGACCCCAGCAGCTATGGCGACGATAGTCACCATCCCTGGTATCAGTCAAAACACTGAGCAACAATTCATAGCTACAGGTATTCGTCGCCTTGTTTGGAAGCTCGATCGAAGACTGATACCTTTTCTTGTTCTCCTCGAGGTTAGTTCATACATCAATCGACTTAGTATCGGTATGTGTCTTTGAGTTGAATCATTCATTCGTTGATGCTACTCTCATAGGTCACGCCAAATTGATGAATATTGAAGACGAGTTACCTATGTCATCATCTTCTATGAATTGGGCCATTTCCCTATTTTATCTTGCCTATGTAAGAAAATGATGTAACTGGACTTCAAAGTATTCTAATATATTTTTTCTTCCAGCTAATCTTTGAAATTCCAAGCACTCTACTTCTGCGCTTTTTGGGTCCGACTCGTTATCTGTCGTTGAGTTTGATTTTATGGGGTGGCGTTACTGTCGGTATGGCTTTCGTGAAAAACTCTCAACAACTGCTAATTGTTCGCTTTTTTCTCGTAAGTTAATTCAGTCTTAACTGATTACAAAACATATTAAAATTGTCATTGAAGGGCATGGTTCAATCTGGCTTTTTTACTGGTACTATCACTTATTTCTCTTTGTGGTATTGCAAAAAAGAGCAGATTATGAGATTTGCTATTTTGTTTGGAGCAGTCTTTGCTGCCGGTGTTTTAGATGGCATTCTAGTACGTACTTGTGAATCTCATAAAAATATACCTCGTTTTGAATTGATCGAATCAACGATTGCCATTAATCTAGGCATATGGAATCAGTCATATGAAAGATATTGGTGGTCTGAAGAATTGGCGATGGTTGTTTTTACTTGAAGGCTTGCCGATCATTCCACTCGGTGTTATGACCTATCTTTTTCTTGGCAATATACCCGATACTGTTCAATGTAAGATTTAAGAGATGAGTAGAAAATATTCTAAATTGTTTCGAAAATTGAGGGCTGGATAATTGTGAAAAACAGCTGTTAACGAATCTTCTTCGAGAAGATGCGGGTTTAGCCAACAGTGAGCCTACATCAAGTGCTCGACTTTCGTGGCAACAAGTGCGCTATGTTTTTATTGATTGGCGAATATATTTGTATGTCATGATTGCTGTCGGCGATTTGGCCGTTTTTAAATGTCTGACAACATATCTTCCGGAACTTGCCAAATCTATGAGTGACTCCAAAGAAGTACATTTAATATCAATACCACTTTATTTTGTCGCATGTATATGCTGTTTGCTAGCGGGCTATTCGTCATCACGTCGAAACGAACACAGTTTTCATCTTGCATTTTGTCTATCGATCGCTCTGCTTGGATTCATCTTAATGATTGCTTTGTTTGATCAAGGCAACGTAGCATTATATGTCAGTACTTGTATTGCTTGTTGTGGTACATTCTCTGCATTTCCTCTACTACTCTCTTGGTTAACAAATAATGTCGGTGGTCATACAAAGAGAGCCATGGCTGTCAGTTTCCTTGTAGGTATCGGTCAGATTGGCGGAGTTTTAGCGCCTCAGGTGAGCCTATTGCTTTGCTTCTGAAAACTTGCAGAATAACTTATTAAGTCAAACTTTAACATGTCAATCGAAATTTCATTTGACTTTGAAACAATATTAATGATGATATTTTTGTCCCTAGGTGGTGTATCCTGATGATAATGATAAGCTGATATATCGACGCGGACATTTTATATGTGGTGGAATCATAGCCATCAGCTTGATTTTTACTTTTATTTTGCGCATCTGTTTAAAGCTAGAAAATGATCGACGAATGCATTTATCACCGGACAAGTATAAACATGAAGCAGCTATCATAGAACCATGTGATTGGGTCAGTTCATATCTGATTTTCTTATTTGTGAGCGTTGTTTTCTTATTATCTTTAGCATCCAGACACACGCTACAAGTTGTAGCACGAAAAAATGTCAAGGCATCGTCTTATTTCAAATGCTTTATTTATTTTTTTATTTTTTTTATTATAGGCATCTTGAGACGAAAATAAAAAAGCTTGTTAGTGCAGCTCTTCCGGAGCTAAAATGTGGAACTCACGTATACTCTTGTATCTTTCTGAAGTAATGCATCATGTATAATATAAAACTCTTCGCCTAACCTGTAATTATATTCAGCAACAGTTGGTGATAACATTCGGAGTGTGGGTGTGGTTGTAGCTGTGGCTGCGGGCGGATGTGAGTGTAACTCGTTATTACTACACCCACACACTCCCACACCCTAGTTTGATTAAAAATCTGACTAAAATCGTCGCATTTTTATCGGTTTTTAATCACAAAAAAATCGATTAAAATCAGATTTTTCCCAATGTTCTTTTTACATGAGTAATAATCTAAGTACTGACCATTTAATCTTTTTACTGATCATTTATATATTTTTTACTGACCATTTAATTTGTTTTACTGACCACTTGATAATATCCTAATCTTTATTGCTTCTCCAAAATTTTTTCAGGAAAAGCAATTGTTTCCCCTTGCCTTGCTGGTGCGTCGCTCATGGCCTTAACAATTGTGTTTTATAAAATGTTGATCTAATTCTATATAAATCTAATTCTGTCGGAATAAATCTGTTAAGAAAGACTCACAAAAAACGCGCGTTGAAAGAATTATGAGTTGGGAAATATTCAGAAACGAACCTATTCATAATATTGATTGCAAAGGTTTTTGTAATGTTTTTGTATTTTTGACATGAAAAACACAATTTTATAAAGATTTGTAAAAGATGTCGATAATATCAGATGTTGTTATTCGATAAACTATCTAGGTATTTGTCGTGTCATGCCTGAGTCGTTTGAACATGAACACATTCATAAACATCGAACATCGATTCATTATCTTTTCAATCGAACAGTAAAAGTTTCAAGTTAGTATTTTGTACAACAGCAAGATGTAAAAGGTGTATCGAAATCTGATGAACATTTATTCGTAAGGTGATGAAGAGTATTTTCATTCATGTGTTGTATAATCATAACGTTTTCGCGAAATTTTCTCTTTAGAGATTTAAGATATTCATTTCCTTATTTGTAAAATTCTTTAGGAGATTTAATTTGTGATGTTGAAAAAGAGATCATTGCCGTAATTATGAAGCGATTAAATATGTGAAAATGAATGCTTTGCTGTTTTATTTAAAGTTTATTTAAACAAATACCTAGACTCTTTTTTTCTCTATTGATGGTGAGAACAAGAATGAATTTTAAAAAATGTTGCTCTTTCGTGCCTAAATGCAATGAATTGTGCTTAAGTTTAATTTTGTCTGTGACATTTACATAGATTACTTTTTATTCTTTTTGTTTTTTTCTTCTGAAAGTAATAGTCGAGTTGAGTGAGAACTATGGAACACATAAAATCGATAGATAGTAATCGATATTAAAATGAAGCCGGTCCATTTTCTCTTAGATCCGCATAAATATATTATTTTTTCTTCTGTCTTACGATTGAGTTCGTGATTTTTTTTTATTGGACGTCCTATTACTTGTGTTGGTCGTAGAAGAGTAAAGAGAGAAAGGTCTGCAAGCAAATACAAAATCAGAGAGTAGTAATTCCTTCATTCGTACCGATAAAGGTAGACAATTTGTTTTTTTTAATAATATTAAATATAATAGCTGATTTTTCGACCTTGAAAACGTATCATACTCAAATAAACAATCTATCAAGAAGAAAATCTCGTCAATATAAAGATTTTCAGTGTTCATTGATTTAACAAAAATAAATATATTTATTTAACGATAGAAAAAGGTAAAGAATTAAATCTGATGTAAAATAAATTGCTTACTATGTTATAGTTAGAAATTAATGGCAGTAGAATCTACATCAAAAACTCCATCTGGTATGCGAATTTATTTAAATCATCCACGGAATTTAATTAAAAGTGGATATCTGATTCTAACTTGGATTGTATTGGTGAATTTTATACTTTTATAAACGATTTTCATCATATAAAGAATTAGAAAAAAAAACAGATTATTTGATATTTAAGGGTTGTCATCTTGAATTGATTGGTCCAACAATGCCATTTCTTGCAGCAAATATCAATGTTACATATAGTGGTATGGGTACAGTGCTTGCATCAAGAAGTGCTGGATATTTAGTTGCTAACCTTCTTGGTGCTATTTTACAAAATATTGTCAAAAAACATTCTGAAGGTCTTCTATTTAGCGCATTTATTTTACCTACTATTGGTAATCTTTTTAATAGATTTCAAAATATTTTTTAAAATTTTTTCTTTTCAGCGGTTTTTGTTACTCCATTTGTCACATCATTGATATTAATGTGTGTTTTATTTTTTATTCAAGGACTTTCGAAAGGTTTTACAGATTTAGGTAAATGAAGATTTTTATTGAAAAAAGTTTATTTTCAATAAATATGTAGGTGGAAATAATCTCTTATTGAGAATGTGGGATATCAATGCTGCAGCACCTTTAAATTTAGTTCATTTTGGATATCCAATTGGTGCTGTTTTTGTTAATTTACTTGTTCGTCCGTTTATTACTCAAAAAGTTTTATTAACCAATGTTACAAATAATGAAGTAATAAATTCAACATTATCATTGATTAATGCAACAAAAGTTAATTCAAACATTGTTATTCCATACTCAATTACTGCAATTTTATGTTTTTTGATTGCTATTGGACATATCTTTTTTTATGTTCCACAGTTGAGAAATCAAAGACAAAAATTACAAGTACAACAGGTATAATAAACTAATATGAGAAAAATTCAGTTAATTAACAAATATAATGCGTATTTAGGTCGACTATGCTGCTGTAAGCACAAATCCAGACAATGTTAATTCTTCAGTAAATAAAGAAAGTTCTTCTTCATATTCTCCTCGAACATGTGGTTATGGAAGTTTTCAATATGGTTTAATTCTTTCAACAATATTCATTATTTATACATTTTTTATGGGTGGAAATTATCAAACATTTTCAAAATTTTTTTTTTCTTATCTCAAATTTAATAAATTTAATTTATCAAACGAAGCTGCAAGTTGGGGAATTACTCTTTATTGGCTTTCTTATTCTGTATGTATTATCATCTTATTTACACAATTCATTTCAAATAGTTAAGAGAAAAAAGTAAAGACAATCCTTTCATTCCTCTTTGGAAAGATATGAAAAGCTTTAAATAAGAACTACAATATGAATTATAACTCGACTATACGATTAAAAGAAATTTTGTCTTAACCAAGAGGAAAAGATTTTAATTTATGCAGGAAGAGAGGTGAACTACAGTGCTACTCAAAAGTCTGATACCACTTTTTTCTTTTCAGTTATGTATTAAAACTACACAATATTAATTTGACTAGGAAGAATCCATCCAAAGTAATATTGCACGGTGAGCGTCTATTTCTTTCAGGTCAAAAGTCAAAAGTCAAAGCTCAACCCACTATCCCACTCCCTTGACTATTGATCTTTGATCCGACACAGATAGACACTGAATAGTTTATACATAGATTTTGTTGTAGACCTGTATAACACAGATCAAGTATTATTTATATAATTAGTTTTAATATGAAAAGCTCTTGAATATAAAATACAATAAAAACAAACAAATTTTAATGCTAAGAAAAAAATATGATATTGTTGTTTTAAATTTCAATAGTCGGAGTAAAGTGCAAATAATTTACAATTCGAGTAGCATTCTTTCTTTGATATTTTTACAGGATTCGATGGGACTCATCGAGCTCTACAAAAACTGTTTATACTAAAACATTTTAAAAACCTCTTTAGAGATCAAATTTACAAAAATTTGTATTTTTTATGTTTGTTTTTCCATATGAAAAACGATTTTTTTGTACACTTCTTTTTTTTTATAAATTTTATCTCTAAAAAGGATTTTAAAATGTTTGAGTATACACAGTTTTGTAGGGCTCGATGAGTCCAATCGAATCATGTAAAAATATCAAAGAAAGAATGTTACTCGAATTTTAAATTACCTGTTATCTTACTTCAACTACTGAAATTTGAAACAACAATATGATTTTTATTCTTAACATTAAAGTTTGTTTGTTTTTATTGCATTTTATATTGAAGANTGATGAGCTGTTGATGCTGAAGTTATCATTTTATATGCGATTGATGAACTCATGAACGATTCGTTTTCATTGTTCTTTAGTTCAATATAAACGACGAATTTTCTCTGGATAAAAGACAGCCGACGAATTGGTATAGCATAACTTCACAATGTACGGTGTCCTCTATTTTTCTCTCTTTGTTTTATACTCATACGTACATTTTAGTGCGCATGTGTTCACTATATAGAGGTTCTCTTTGTTCAAGGGACCAAAAAATCGTGTCCATGTTCAGAGTTGGGAGGTGTTCACTATGTAGAGGTCTATTTACAGCAAAAGTCGCTCGGGGGGACCGAGATATGCGTTCAAATAGGAGGTATTCACATTGTAGAGGTGTTCACTAACACAGGTTTTACTGTATAAGAGAACCAGAAAAACATTTAGTTATATCTATTATATACATTTCATTCTTTCTTTTATGATTCATTACTTAAAATTGTTTTCATCTTGAAATTCGAATAAAAGTACTTACATGAATTAATAGAACGATAAAATATTTACTGCCAAAATAGAAAGATAATTAATCATGTTTTGTTTCTTGTATCTTTATATGAATTATTTATATGGGCTTCTTCGCCCGTTTTTGTAATGCACAGGGTTACCGTTAGTATGCTAAAAAATAATGTAACATTTAACCAACGATTTTATTTTTATCTATTACATCTTTTTATAATTTACTCGATGAACATTTTTATAAAAATGTCTATTAATTGTACGTCTTGTTTTTGTCCTTATCGGTATCTTCACGTTTCTCATTATATTATTGTTTCATGCATTTTTTTTTCGTAGTTTTATTTCTTTTAAAACTGCGACAGTAAAATATCAATGAAAATGAAATTATAACAATTTCATACTAATAATGAAAATAAAAACGCAGAAATCTAGCTAGATTGTCAAAGATATTGTCCTATGTTGAGTTAAAAAATTGGGCCTAATTTTCAAGAAATACAAAATTCTTTTCAGATGAAAGACGTCTTGCGTGATTGTCTATCGGATTCTTCTCTGTTTTTCAAAGTGTTGTATTTCAGACAAGATTCTTATATTAAATATATAGAAGAAGAGCTGATTGTTTTCTAGAAAAATTAAAAAAAACTAGAAACAAGCATATTTACTTCTCTTGTCAAAGATAGCGGTAAAAATGCAAACTTTCCAAAGAAAATCACTAGACAAAAAAAACGTGAACTAAAGTTCAAAGAAAAGAGCGACCATATTTTTTGTCCTTCGTCTGAATCTGCCACTGCATAAAACACTATAGCACCATCGAGAGCACACATCATCAGGTAATTTCAGATGTTCTTACATTAAATATTACATCAATAGGTTTCTTTGAAACAAACCAATCACAAAGCTATTGATTTTAATTGTAAAGTCGATATTGATCAATTAATTCATGTTATTGATTATTGTTATTCGAGAAATACTAAATGAAAGCAACACATTTTCCTATTCATTACTGTGATCTTTAAGACATTGATATGATTCTCTTTTTTCTCCTTTTACCTCTCTTGTTTGTGAGCTGGGCCGATCGAATTTTTCATAGGAATCCATGGGCTGAATTTTGAATAAAACATTCTAAACAATTCCAACAATATCATGTGTGTTCATGCGAGGTTTTTTTCGAAAATTCCGTGTAGCTAATTTTTTTGCACTGTGAAATCTATACAATGAGCACCCATGGACTAAAAACATGACAAAAAATGATGTAAATTAAATCATTTTAAAGAAAAGTTTAATAGAGAAAAATGCCATTTTTCATCGTGAAAATGATTAAATTTTAAGCAAGCTGATGCAATTAAAATGATAAAAAATACATTGAAATCCTATCATTTAAATAATTAATATCAACCCATCTACTCTTCAGGCTCTACGAGCACTGTCTCATAGCAGGGGCTTCCGGCATAGTTATCTACGAGCAGCATCGGAACTTCTTGCTGAGGTGCGATGCTGACTGTCCTTCGAGGAGCTGTGCTAAAACATTCACAATTTCGTCTGTCGCCAGAATCATATTGCCTGTCTAGCATTATTTTATATCAAATCTCTGAACTCAAAAAAGCAGCGCACGACATCTCCAGCATCCTTACACGTTACTTTCTTTCTCAACAAGTTATCTATACAGACAACATCTACGAATAGTTTGAAGTCATTATTTAAATGACGCATTTGACAATACTTTCACACAATGAAAAACATTTTTCATGAAAAGTAGGAAATTATTAATATTTTCGTTGTGTTTCTTCAACACTAGAAACGAAGAGGTCTAACGAGATAAATAAAACATAATTCTAGCAACGCACCGAAAATGATAAAAAAACAATGAAAGTACTATATTGATTTACGTTTTCGCAAAGTACTCGAAATCCTGTGGTGAAGATGATGTAAAAATAAAGAAACTACGGTGATCATTTTGGTTTTCCTGAAACAATGGAAGTCATGCAATTTTTTTTCACGGAAAGTTCTGAAATAACCATTTAAATGAAATTACTTTCATTTTTTGATTCCCTGGGAACGCAAATAAAGAAGAAACAAAAGAAAACAAAAACAAAATGCTGTTGTGATTAATATAATTCAGAAAGATTGTAGTCTATGTTAACCTCTTCCTATTCGTTTTTGTTTGCTGTTAGCTTTCGATTTGCCACATAGTTATTCACTTCTCCGTCGATAGATGCATCTCTATTTTTAAATGGCTTTTAACTTATCTATAATAAAACAAAACAGACACGAACTTTATTCTGATAAAACTTTATTCTTTTCACTATCATATGTTTTCTTAAAGTGCATTTTTAGATGGCGTGTCTATGTGATCGAAAACAATAACACACTAATAATCATCTAAACTCTAATCTGAAATAATTAATAGAAAGATATATCTTACATGGGAATAGAGAGAAAATTTATGTACTGATATGGTGCGAATAAAAGTTCAATGATTGACATTGAATTTGAAATTGTTGCCACAAGGTATACAAAACCATGTGTATTATTTGCAATTACTTTTCAAAATATCGACACTCTATACGAAGTCAAAGTGGACACAAATATGTTAAGATTATTATCAATTATGATGACCAATGGCGTCACATAGAGAGAGCTCAATTATATAGAGCAAAAATATCATAAATTAGAATTGATGAGTGCGTATAGCAAATCAATATTACAAAAAATATTTTTGTCAGTATACGCAAAATATTCAATAAAGTAGTCCATTTCTTGTTGTTGTTTTTTTTTGTCATTTATTACGGAAGAAATAGTTAGACAAGGGTATGTGAATGTGAAACCTTGTAAAAGACGGAAAAATTCAAAAAGTTTTATTCAGTCTCTATCCATGGTTTCTTTTTGTGTTCAAATCGATTTCTAACAAAAATCACCCTTAAACGATGAATTTCTTTCATATTAGAACCATACTCGATAGATCAATTTGTTAGGTATGAATCAAGTCGATTTGGAAATTTAACATTAATCAGCTTTCACGAGTTTATAAACAATGTTCATGATTTGAGCGATCGAGAAAAACGAGTTCAAAAATCTTCAACTGGAAAATTTTTTAATCGTCATCAAAATCCCAGCTCTAGCCCTTATAAGTTCATTCTTTTCATCATTAGATGAAAGTTTCAGATCATGTAAGACGTTGATTATAATCATGAGGAGTTAGTTCAACACTGTATGTTCAATTCGACCTAAGCTAAAGACTTTCACATAGAAATGTTGGACTTACTTTCCTCGGCTGCATCCATAGTTAAAACTTTTTAGATAATGTTTTCATTCTGAACGGACTAGAAGAAATTTTGTCTTGTTGTGGTGGTTTTATTAATTCCTAGCATGATGTAACTGTGGAAATATTTGGATATTAAGAAATCGAAAAACAAAGAATCCTGATCGAGAAGTTGTTGTTTAATTCTGATTATTTTTAATCGATTGAAAGACTTAAAACAATGTTACAATTTGCATTGCTGATTTTGTCTCCGAACTAATTTAACCGAACAACTTTTTCATCAGTTTCAATTTTGAATTTTCTTAAATTGTTTCATATCAGTGCAAAAGAATGACCTAAAAGCAGTTCTCTTACTAGCAAATAGAACACGAAGAAAATGCAAGAAAAGTCAAACAAACAAGTAGAGAATTGTGCGCCAAGCGAGATCTATAACATTAGGTGTAATGGTAGTTACTATTCATCGTGATTAATCAACTTGATCTTTATATATTAAATGAAGTACAAGAAAAAATTCAAGATCTACAACTAAGTCAAAATAAATATATTGATCTTTCACAAAAGAAAATCTATGTTAATAAATTTCTTATAGTGGTTTGTTACGGAGTCTCTCTTAGATACTCTTTTTCTCAAGTACTTTGAAGCATTAGTGTTGAAATTTCGAGTCGGAGCTATGATACCTTTCATTGAAGTACGTCTTCAAGTTTTTAAAGTTCGAATTCGGATGTCTTTCGATAGAGAACACATGAAAATAATCTTTTTCAAGAATCAGTTTTGGTCAAAAAAATAAATAATATTAGGTGTTGGTATTGTCGATTCTCACAGTGCATATAGTTTATCTCCAATTTATAGGAAACATTTATGCATATTCGAAAGTAAAATTTATATTGGAGAATGAATTTATGATGGAGATTATAATAGAAATTCATCTGAAGCATATTCTAATACATCAACTTCTCCTCTAGGTGCCGTACGATTTTCTGCATATGAATCTGTTGTTAAACAATTAGCTGATGAATTAAATATTTCATATCATCAATATGATCTTCAAAAAAAGTCTTATTAAAACACGTGGAAAATTCAATACTTCCGATAATGAAATGTGTTCGAAATCATATACTAATTTAACTTGTACGGATGATTCAAATGAATAAAATGCTGTAGATCAATTATGGAATAGATTACTACGTAGAAGAATATCATAAAAATCCATCTAGTGTATATGATTTTGTTGATTTAAATGCATTCTGTCGTGCCATTCTTGGTGATGAAATAACGAAATTTTTACAAGCTTTACATAGATATCATAGTGATTTTCAAAATAAAAATGTCTATTTATATTTAAAATATTTTAGTCAAGATTGGATTTTAAGTGGTGCTATATATTATCTACAACAAGGAATGTCAAAATTTTCTAAATGAATGATATATATAATCCAACAAAATTAAATAATTCTCAATTATATTTAAATGAAGATGTTCTTAAAATTGATGATGATGATTATTATTATGATGAAAGAACAAGTTATTATCAATTCTTGATTAAAACATCTGGATATCAAATTCGTGCAAAACGATTAATTGTAACAATAGATCCATTGAGTTGGCAAAATATAAAAGGTTTAATTGCTCGTGATATCAAATCGGATATACATTTTCAATCAAGTTTACCTGCTAAAACAATAGTAATGCAATGCTATTGATCTCATCGTTTTGGTGAGAAGAAAGTTTACCTTTTGGAAAAACTATTACTCGTATTTGGACAAAACAAAATTGTATTAGTTTTATTGAAAGTATTCCTCGACGTCCTAGTGAAAGACAACAAAATTTAACAACTATCCGTGATGATAGTTTATGCATTGAAATATGAGCAGCATTGATTGGTCGATTATCTGAAAAAGATTTAATACAAGAAATTCTAACAGGTTTACAATCAATTTTTATTGATGTTCAAATACAATTATCAAGAAAAATTTTTTCTCAAATATGGCCCAGGAGCTTGGCATTATCAAAAATCGAATAGTATTTTTAGTTAATAAAGAAATTTCTCAATGGATATTAAATCCATTAAAACGATTTAATAAACTTCAATTTAGTTTAATCGGTGAAGCATTTTATTTAGATCGATCAACATGGATTGATGCTACTTTTAAATCTTCATTTATTTCAACAAGTTTACAATTTAGTTTAAATATTAGTTGTTTTGAAAATGATCCGACTGTGGACAGAAAATTTTACAATTATTGAGAAAACTTTTTAGTTGATATTTTTTATTGATTTTAGTTAAAATAACGAAGAAGAACAAGTACATTTCGATACATATTATATTTTTAATCTTAATTTTTCTTTTTTGCCTACATACAAAAAAAAACTTTACGCTTGAACGCATGTTTTTCAGCTCACAAGTTTTTTCGAGACATTAAATGCATTTTTTCGTGTATTATCTTAGTTGATCTTGTCTATAAGAATTTTCGGGAAGTCTCTGTCGTATTTCTAAGTTCCTGAAAAGCCAAACAAAAAACGAGAAATCATTTGGATATGCCCAGATGAGTTCTCTGGAAAGTTTGAAACGTATTCTCATTTTTTATTTGACTGTTAGGAACTTATCAGAGACTTAGCAATGCAATAGGAAGTCTATTTCAATTCGAATAACCTATTCTAATATATTTCGATACTCATATGCTTATGTTAGTGTTGCTATAACTATACTCTTAGATCTGTACTCCATTAGATAAAGCTTTTGTAAATTGTTGCTTTTTTCTCTGATAAGAAATCTGATTTTTGTTTAGGATGAAACTCAATTGTCCTAAAAATTATGCAAACGCATCATTTATCTATATAAACTCCATCGATCAGTTTATTTTGCATATCTCTCAAAAATCGATTGAGATTTTCTCAAAAGAATTCTTTTAATTTATAAGAGGTAAGAAAAACAAGATGTCTGCAAAAGACTTTTATCTGATGAAAAAACTTGATGATGATATTGTTTTCTCCCGATTCAGCATCGAAACGATAGACATCAGACAGATACATCAAGAGACAATAAGAATGAAAAGATGTTTGTTATTTGCATTGTTCACAATTTACTTTTGACTGAAAAGAAAAAGAAACTATTTTGATAAGAAGCATCAATCATCAAATGAACAGGCTTTGTATATTCGAGATTTCAAAGTGAACAAATTAACAAACGTAAGTTAATTGACTCATATAAGAAAATGATAGTTAGTTCACGTGATTGCAAGTGAATATTGACCAAGGTTTTGGACATATAGAGTACGAAACTGGTCTGTTAGAACATTTATAAATAGTTCAGTTATATTTTCTGAAGTCGATTTCTGATCCTATGAATTGTGCAAAATATTATCAAAAATTGTGCCTCTCTATAATTGATTTCAGTTCATATCTCAAAAGCTGTTAGCGCAATCCCTGCAGGATTAAAAATGTGAAACACGATGCAGCTGCAGCTGCTAATTACACAAAGGTTGGCTTAATCTATGTACTATGGCATATATTCATTCACCTTTGTTTTATTTAAACCCTCCCCCTCCTCAGTCTCTCGAAAAAATTATCTTAGCCTAGATCCATTCAAGTGATATGAAATTTTCAAGACATATATCTACTATATTGGAGATTCAATATCTGAATCAATTCGTTGAAAGTGACACTCTAATTATAAAAGTACTCTTTTTAATAATAGTAAGAAAGTTTCATTGAAAAAGGGACTCGGTGAGGTACTGAATCTTAACATGCTCTTTTAAACAAAAAAAAACTGATTTAACCACTATATGCTGTGGCTTATGAGTTCCCATCTATCATCCATGCATGCGGATAATGGAAAATATACATCCCAATACATTACAGTGACTCTAAACGAAAGATAAAGGATAACTCTCATACTAATCTCACAGGGTGGTGGGTGTGAGGGTGGACATTTACTTCAATGGCACCCCACCCACACCCTTGCGAAAGTGGTTAATGATAATGCAAAGACCTATCTGAATGATGATTGCATCCTCCGGTCGATGTTTCCCAATGTAAAATATGCAATGATCGGCGTATAATTGACTGATGCGATCGAATTTGGTCGTCTCCATGAACATATTACGATGGCTTCATCGTATCTACATCGTTTCGAATACGAAATCACTTTGACATCAAACATCTACGAGCAAAATTACCTCTGTTTAGTAAAGCTCATATGATTAAGGAAATGAATTGTTTTCGAATTTATGACTAGAAAAATCGAATACAGTGGTAGAAAGATCATTATGATGAAATTCCGTAGGATGGAGTGTGGGTATAGATTAAAAGAATTCTCACACCCCTGTTCACCCTAACTCTTTAATTTATTTCACACCTACATCCACAGTCATAGGTCCATGATACTCTAGAATCAAGTAATATCCAAATCTAATTCCATAATAAATCCAAACTATTTCATATAAATTTCTAAGGCTTCAATTTGTTGCACCCCTATGAAAAGTTATAAAACAGTACCAGTTTTTTTCAAACAGAATTAGTACAACCGACATATTTTAGAGAAAAATTATTTATGTAATAATTTTATTAATACAATATTAATTCAATAATGACCAAATAGCACAGGCAAATAAAGCGTCGTTTTCTCTATCACTACATTAAAAAAGAAAATTTCTTCAAACATTCGATGAGAAATTGATATACCTTCGTCACTACTTTCGATATGTCCTAAGTAGGCCGATCTTTTTTCGATTAATTTACGCGTACCCTCACCTATGCACTATGAAAGAGTTTCAGTCTTTTACAGATACCCGAGTGTGTGCAATGATTTCGTTTGAATAAAGATAACAAATACCAAAAACACAGCATGATAGCTAAAAATTTCACTCATATCCTAGTATAAATATCATCGTATTAAGAATTAGTCATATCCCAATACAAATATCATTCTATTCTGAATTACTCATTTTTTCTATCACAAGCACAAACGCATACAAGAAGCAGAGGAAAAGATAAGTCCATGCTCGATGGAGAACATTATTAAGCACTAGTACTTAGCATATAAATATGGTGATATCGTGTGCTAGGCCATTAATCTTTTCCAGGCATAAGTAATGCAGCGGGGTGTCATCATTCAACTCCTCATACTACTATTAGTGATAGTGAATAAATCCAATGGTATTTCGAGTCCTATTAAACCATTCACTACCTACAAACATTCAGCTGAACTGCAGACAAATGTTGCTGATCTTTGGTGGATAGTGGACGATGCTGAACGAGAAATTATCTTCGAGTTCCATGTCAAAACTACAGGATGGATTGCTTTGGGTATCAGTCCAGGTAGAGTAGTTCAAATTGACTAAGCCATACATCATTTTTCTCATTTATGTAGCTGGTGGAATGAGAGGGGCTGATATTGGTGTTGGATGGGTGGATCTGGCCGGTATTGTACATTTTCAAGTAAGCATTGTCTGTCTTCCGAAATTTGACTAGCATCTATTGGTTTATTTCGTGCAGGATCGTCATGCATTCGGTATGTCACCACCTGTCATCGACAATACAACAACAGATTGGTTTCCTCTACAAGGTCGTGAACAAAATGGATGGACATCCATTCAATTCAAACGTTTGCTTGATACATGTGATTCGATGGATGTTCCAATCAAGGTAAGAGATGATTTCATTATGTATAATTAAAAACAAAACATTTTCTCAATTAATATAGTCTGGAACAAACATTCTCATATTTGCATATGGTCTTGTCGATCCGGATCTGTCTCGATCAGATGGTGATATATCATATCATGATACTCGGCGAGGCACACGCATGATTCCACTTCGATCTTATGGGAATCCACCTTCGGAGGAGAAATTTGCCGGACTTGATTCATTCGAATTTCGTGCGCTGAATGTTAGTTTCTTGTTCACTCATTCTATCTCGAACACATGTACTGTATATATGTATTTATTTTAGTATCGGGTTCCATCGGAGGAGTCAACCTATTATTGCAAAGTCTACAAAGCTCCTACTCAGTTTTTGACTAAGCAACATGCTATTGCAGTACGTATTAATGGTGGGCAGCTTGTCGCTTTGGATTTGTCATGAGTGAAACGAAAATGAAAGGAGAACTTTAGTTTTATGTCATGAATAGTTTGTTGTTTTCGTAGTAGTTGTTCGTCACCCTCGTTGTACAGCTCAAGCGCGTATCGCTTACAAGTTATTACGATACCACTGAATTCTCGTGTACTCTGCTAATTTATCAGCTTTTTTCTTTGTACCGGTAGTAGTAACATATCTCGTATCTTTGTTTATTGTCTCTTTTCTAAAGCACCAGGTTCTGGTTGATTCAACTAATCGTGATCTTGTACATCACTTGGTGGTTTACGAATGTGATCCTGCGGCTACATTTGATGATGCCAATCTGCCCGATGATGTGTGCGATAACGTTTATGCTCATGTTCATATGTGCATGTCAAATAGCGCAATCGTATGGGCTGTCGGTGGTGACGATGTAAGTCTTCTTTTTTAAAAGACCACGAAAAACAAGATGACTGATAGCGTGTGAGTAGATTGAAGAGTTTGCTGAAGAAGCTGGCTATCCAGTCGGCGGTGATTTTCCCGTTAAATATTACGTGCTTGAAATGCACTATGACAATCCAAAGCGAGCGTTGAGTACGACATTTTTTGTTCGGTAAAGACATATGGTAAAACGTTGTTATATTTTCCTTAGATCGTATTGATAGCTCAGGCGTTCGATTTTACATTGGCGAAAAGCTTCGTCAACACGATCTTGGCTTTCTTTCGTTTGGTACAGGTCCAAGCCCGGGCTCGCTTGCCATTCCACCGCAAGTCAATCGATTTCTCATTGACTCCTATTGTTCACCGAGAGCTACTCAGGTATCTATTCAGCACAATTAGGAGTTTACATTCTTTTTTTCATAGCATTTACCGGAAACTGGTATCACACTTCTGTCAGCCCTTCCTCACACTCACTTGCAAGGCAAGTAACTTATTTCAATTAATGCTTAAAATTATATAGTGTTCGACATTTAACTGATTAGGTCGAAGTCTATGGACAAAATTGATTCGAAATAATACAGCTGTTCAATATGTGTTCAATGCTGAAGCGTACGATTTCAATTATCAATTTGAGAATGCTCTACCAAAACCAATCAAACTATATCGAGTAGAAGAAAACAAAGAAAATAGAGACTCTTAAAAAATAAAATCGACCCTCTATCAAAATTTAGATTCTTAAATCTACGTAGATCATATCTGCCTCACATGGGATCATGGTATTCAGGGTTCATATGAAGATTTTATTCTTTGTGCTATCTACAAAATAGTACTATTACATTCAATTTAATTTATGAGTAAGCCAATTTACTCAAAGACAATCATTCAGAGTCCCCAAAATAGTACTTTTTCACACATTGTGGACCTATTTTCACTTGAATTTGTCATTGCGAGCTTTGCAAAAGTTCGCGACTCTGCATTCATAGTTACGCTGACATTTTAACAATATGTATTTTGTGACATATCCATGAGGGGGACGGGAGCGGAATTTTTCGAAAAACAATAAAAATAGATGAAATAGTTTATAATATACGTTTTGATGTTGATTTCCAAATTCAAATGAAAATAGGTAAACAATGTATGAAAAAAGTACTATTTTTGAGGATCTCAATGATTGTGTTTTCAAATAAATTGTCCTACTTTCAAATTAAACTCAATGTAATAGTACTATTTTGTAGATAGCCCAAATAATAAAATTTTCATATGAATCTTGGATACCACGATCCTATGTGAAACATATATGGTCTAGTTTTAAGAATCTAAATTTTAACAGACGACCGATTTCATTGCTTAATGACTCCCCCCCCTCCTTTTTTTCTTCATTATGTCTACAATTTGTCCTGTAGGGTGATGCGTTTGCTACTCGATGTGTGTACAATACAATGAATAAGAATGAAATTACGCTGGTAAAGAAAAATACACTCGACTGCGAGAGAGAAAGAAAAAAATAGTCTATTCTATCTCACTTTGTTTTATGTTAGGGTGGTCTGCGAACAAAAGATGAAATGTGTCTTCATATCTTCAGCTATTATCCTAGAATGAACAACTTTTATTCATGTTTATCAAGAAATGATATGTCGGCGTGGCAATCTATGATGAATACTTCATCGTAAGTTCAATCAAATTTCGAATAAAAGTGTCAGATTTCATGATTATTTGCTTCAGATCGATCTCTAATAACAGCGTATTGAAACAGTGGCTACTCAATATCAAATGGACACCTGAATTGGCGGTCAAATGGCAAGAATTCTATGATAATGCGGCACGTGTTGTCTACTTTGGTAGTGCGGGACATTTTGAGGAGGAGTTGTTTGCCACATTACCTAAATATGAAGATCTGAAATCTTTGGAATGTGGAAAACAAAACACGGGAGGCCATGTTGATACGGCAATTTAACTGACTGTCAGAAATCACTCGTTCTTTTCGTCTTCCTTCTGCTTACAATAAAAATACTTTTTGATGAATAAAATCATGATTTATTTCGCCTTGCAAGCTAAAACAATTTGTTTTGTCTGTGTGTGGAGTGCGGATATTTCATTTACATAATAAAAAGACAACAAATAAAATGGCTGCTGAATGATGTCTTCTGTTCGCCACCCATGATTCCAATACTGTAGAATCAGTTATTTTCTCTTTGACGTTTTCCCTCTTGAGTGAAATGTATAGTTAAGGGTAGAGAAATATCACAATTAGCCAGTAATACAAGAGTCGTTTGACGGAGGACAAAATTCGAATCATGATCACAATTACCTTTTATGAATCATAATTCTCTTATCTTTTTCCTAGTCAAATGTTGCTACTCCTTCCAAGGAAAAAATGCTTCACGAAAACAGTAAGAAAAATAATCCAAGTGGAGAGACACAACAATTGATAACACGGTTTTTATTATCAATGACACGTTTTTTTTTCAAATAAATATTTGATGAGAGCATGTTCTTTACTATGTTTGACGTGTATGACATCGAATTTTCGATTAAAGGTACGATGCATTCCTTTTCTCCATCAACATTCACATTTTATACAAGGAAAGAGCGGCGGTAACCTATTCACATACTCCTATAGGGCAGAATATCTGAAGCTGTTAAATTACTCACTACTCTTGTTAGAAATTGTCTCTGCAGTCTATCTGTGCCCCAACCATTGCGTTTATGATGAAGAAAATAAGAGACTGCACTTATAGATAGAAGGCATCTTCTGAGAAAATCTACTCCTAGACATTTAGTTCTTACATCTAATAAATAATTATAAAAGAAAGTTGTTATATGGATAGTTTACTTTATGTTCATTTCCGACTTTTTTTACTTCAGTAATTTCGCTCTTTGACATTTATTCAGATTGAGATAGATTAGTTCGTGAATATAAAGAAATAAGAATGAAGAATTAAAATCAATCAGTTCATTCATTTACACAGGGTTTGAGTGTGGGTGTCAATCTTCTTGTCAGTCACACTCACACCCATACCCTCGAAACGAATGATAAAAATTACCTTCGGATTCGATTCGACTCGCCCCATTTTGTTAACTCTTTCATTCGATTTGATTCAATTTATTCTCTCATGAAAAACGGCTAACGGTCATCCGGCATGATTGAAGTTGAGCACTCAAATTCTCAGGCACAAAACAATCGATCTTACTCATTTTAAGTTTTTACGTAGGGTTTCGTATATTCTGCATCGATGTATGCAATTTATTTTTTATAATTAAGAGAAAAAATGATAGTCACCAGCCAAAATTCAGTATTTTTGTGCAAAAGTGGCTTGAAAAAGCTCTTTTGTTTCGTGTCATATTTCAAAAACGGACACATTATTAGACATAAAAACGGTAGTGGCAGCTTGAAATACAAATGAACATCATTATTTTGATGTTCTAAACCGATAATTCCAAATACGAAATAGAATTTTATATGTAGGATTTTTGTTAAAAAAAATTATGTCGGTGCGTTACTTAATGTTTTGTCAATAGTTCACTCATTTTTCAAGGCATCAATATTTTCTCTTTACCAAAAGATAGCCCTGACTTTTAGCTACAAAATCCTCTCTCGTGCAATTCATTAGCATGAAGTAGTTCGCAGGGTATATCACTTCTTTCGCACCTACCAAGAACCGAGGGCGTTTTTTGTCTGTGCGTTACCGACCAGTATTTTACTCATAAAATCCAAACAGATAAACAGTTGAGGCTCACACTTTCAAATATTATAGAGTTTGTTTACTTATATATTTTTTATTAAATTACAAGTTCTTCCCTATTATCATTCTCTAGATACATTCGTTGAAAGTTGAAAACTGTCTGTGCGTGATCTGCGTTTTCCATGCTCTGTTCAAATAAACATGCTATCTAGTTTTACTTAATGCGGTTTTTCCAACAATATTGTGTCGTAGGAATGATAATCGCCTTTCATTTATTTATGTTAAGATTTCATCTTCATAATTGTCAAATGTATCCGTAAGGATTGTTTATTTTTATAAGAAAGAAGTAAATATTGTACAACCTAATGAATGAAATCCAGAAATACGCTTAGGAAAATTTTTCTTGAAAAGGATTTTGACTTTCAAATAATACATGTCGCGCGTAGTACATGTTGAATAGACTGCAATTGTTAATTGTGATGATGTAAAAATGAGTGCTGCATAAGATGAAGCAAATAATGAAGTATCACCATTCTTGGGCATCACTCTTTGTAATGTAATTCTCAAAGGCAATTTCTACTATAAGTGTGTAGTTTAGGTTGAAATAGTCTATCGACAAATCGAGATTCATCTTCGCTTCAATACTTATTGAGATCAGCAGTACAACAGCACCAACCCTCTTTGATGTGTCTTATGAATCATATGAATAATTGTATGGAGTGCCACTGATCTGAAGAAGAACTGTTGATTCATTATCAAGCATTGAGCGTTAATCTGTTTTGATTGGCCAGTTGGTGTGGATTATTTCTCGTTATAAAGATCTATTTATTGAAAAAATGAAAACATAATTCGATAGAGAAACGTTCCCTCTATCAACTGGTACAAATCAGAAGTTCAGTTTGTTTTATTTTTAAAAAGTCGGTGTAAATAGTGCATTTGATATTGATTCACTCAATATGTTATTTTTTTCTCTCTCTCTATCGATATAACAGAAAGAAAAGAAAAAAAGAAGAGATCATGCGTTCTGTGTTAACAGTTATCTCTTATATCGACTCAATTGTACTCGTTCATAATGTTTATAAGAGAAAAAAATGACACTCTCAGACGAATATTCGATTTGGTTTCGCTATCGGGTGTGCGGTGTGGATGCTATTGTGAAGCTTCTTTCAGACAGCCACACCCACACCCATCTGCCGACTCGTAGAAAAAAGAAATTCCGAATCACAATGATGGAATCTAGAAAATAGATGATTTATCGTCGGATTACCATTTNTCGTAATTCGCGCATGGATTGCGAGGACTCGAAATTCCATTAGATTTCTTCACTATTCCGAATAGTAATACAAAGAGTTGAAGGGTAAGATTTAGTTTCATTGCTTAAGCCTGAAAAGAATTAATGATCTATCACGTCATATTACCATATTTATATGTTAAGCAGTGTAATGCTTGACAATATTCTCCGTCGAACATGAACTTTTCATCTTCTTGTATGCACTTATGCTTGTGATAGAAAAATGATGCTGATCTTTGGTGGGCAGTGGACGACGCTGACCGAGAGATTGTGTTTGAGTTGCACGTCAAAACTACAGGATGGATTGCTTTAGGCATCAGTCCAGGTACAGTAGTTCGGATCGGCTATACTAATTATCATTTTTCACATATGTGTAGCTGGTGGAATGAAAGGAGCTGACATTGGCATAGGATGGGTAGATCAAGCTGGCAATGTACATTTTCAAGTAAGTGTTTACTGCCTTTTACCATCATAGCTAGTATGTCTTGATTTATTTTGTACAGGATCGTTATGCATTCGGTATGGGACTACCTATCATCGATAATACAACAACAGATTGGTTTCATCTACAAGGTCGAGAACAAAATGGATGGACATCGATTCAATTCAAACGTTTGCTTGATACATGTGATTCAATGGATGTTCCGATCATAGTAAGAGAGAATTTCTATTAGGAATCATTAACAATGAAACATTTTCTCAAATATTCTAGTCAGGAACTAATATTCTTATTTTTGCCTATGGTCTTGTCGATCCAGATCTGCTTCGATCGGGTAGTGACATATCATATCATGATACTCGACGAGGCACAAGAATTATTCCACTTCGATCTTATGGAAATCCATCTTCGGAAGAGAAGTTTGCTGGACTTGATTCAGTGGACTTCCGTGTTTCAAATGTCAGCTTATTGTTCATTCGTACTATCTAAAACATATCTACTTTATATATTTCTTTTAGTATCGGGTTCCATCGGAGGAATCAAACTATTATTGTAAAGTCTACAAATCTCCTGCTCAATTTTTGACCAAACGACATGCTGTTGCGGTATGTATGAGTGGTAGAGTTTCGCACTTTGTATTGCCGAATAGAACGGAATGGGAAGAAAAACTTTAGTATTATATCTAGAATAGTTTATCCTTCTTATGCTAGGTGTTTGTGACTACGAAACCCTCTTGTTGTACATATAAAATGTGCAACTTTGACAAGTTTTTCAAGTATCTCGAATATTATTGCATCCCGTTCAATGCTCGTATAATTCGACCTTTTATCGGGCTTCGTTTTTTTTTGTTTCATCTCTAAAGCACAAAGTTCTGATCGATTCAGCTAATCGAGATCTTGTACATCATCTAGTTCTTTACGAATGTGATCCTGCAGCTGTATTTGATGACACCAATCTGCCAGATGATGTGTGCGATAATGTTTATGCTCACGTCCATATGTGTATGTCAAATAGTGCAATTGTGTGGGCTGTTGGTGGTGACGATGTAAGTCTTATTCTTAATAGACTAATAAAAACACCATAATTGATAATTTATGAATAGATCGAAGAGTTTCCTGAAGAAGCTGGTTACCCTATTGGTGGTGATTTACCAGTGAAATATTACGTGCTTGAAATACATTATGACAATCCAAGGCGAACATTGAGTAAGAAATTCAGTAAAGACATGTAGTGAAACATTATTATTCCTTAGATCGAATTGATAGTACAGGCGTTCGATTTTACATTGGCAAAGAACTTCGACAATATGATCTTGGTTTTCTTTCATTTGGTACAGGTCCAAACCCAAGCTCGCTTGCCATTCCACCACAAGCCAATCAATTTGTCGTTGACTCCTATTGTTCACCGAGAGCTACTCAAGTACGTATTCAGTATAATAAGGATTTGAAGTCCTGTTTTTTGTAGCATTTACCAGAATCTGGTATCACTCTTCTGTCAGCCTTTCCTCACACTCACTTACAAGGCAAGTAATCTATCCCAATGAATGCTTAAAATTAACTACTTTTCAACATTTAAACGGTAAGGTCAAAGTGTATGGACAAAATTGATTCGAAATAATAAAGCTGTTCAGTTTTTATTCAATGCTGAAGCGTACAACTTCAATTATCAATTTGAGAATGTGCTACAAAAACCAATCAAACTACGTCGAGTAGGATAAAGCAAGGAATAGAGAATTGCTAAGCAACTAAAATCGACTCTCTATCAAAATTTAGATTCTTAAAACTATGCAGATCAAATGTATCGAAACATACATATTATTAAAATGTTAGCGTAATAATGAATACTTGACAGATAGTATAAAAATGAAGTTTATATGGAATTTTTTTGAAGACAAATTAGAATGGATGAAAGACCTCATAAAATATATTTTCACGTTGGTTTCATGTCAAATGTCTGTTGTGATAAAAAGGTCAATTTTTTTTGAAGTTCTCACTAAAAATATCTTTAGATGCACTGTCCAATGCACAAATTGAATTTAAAATAATGGTAACATTTTGTAAATAGCGTAACGAATAAAGCTTTCATATGAACTGTGAACAGAACGATTATATGTGAAATAGATACGATCTACTTTTGAGAATCTAAATTTTGATAGAGAGTCGATTTTAGTTGCTTAGCAATTCTCTATCCCAATGAATGCTTAAAATTAACTACTTTTCAACATTTAAACGGTAAGGTCAAAGTGTATGGACAAAATTGATTCGAAATAATAAAGCTGTTCAGTTTTTATTCAATGCTGAAGCGTACAACTTCAATTATCAATTTGAGAATGTGCNATATAGTCTGGAACTAACATTCTCATTTTTGCCTATGGTCTTGTTGATCCTGATTTGTCTCAACCGGATGGTGACATATCATATCATCATACTCGGCGAGGTACCCGCATGATTCCACTTCAGTCGTATGGAAATCCACCTTCGGAGGATAAGTTTACCGGGCTTGATTCATTCGAGTTTCGCTTGAACAATGTCAGTTCTTTGCTAGTTCATCTATATATATATATATTTCAGTATCGAGTTCTATCGGATGACACAACCTATCATTGCAAAGTATACAAAGTTCCAAGTCATTTTTCTACAAAGCGGCATGCTATTGCAGTACGTATTAAAGATGGGCAACTCTCGATTTGCCTTTATGGAGCGAAGCGAAGAATTGGAAAGAGAATTTTTAGCTTCGATCATTTGTCGTTTTTACTTTTATGTCTTTAATGATTTGCCTTTTTTATGATACTATGGTTAAGATTTCGACAAATAATGAACAAAAAGACGTTCGCTTGATCAAAGCTAAAGTTTTTTCAAAAATTCTTCTTCTTCTCAGCACAAGGTACTGATCGATTCGGCTAGTCGTGATCTTGTACATCATCTGCTGGTTTACGAATGTGACCTTGAGGCTACTTTCGACAATGCCAATATGCCTGATGGTCTGTGCGATGACATCTATGCCCAAATTCAATTGTGCACGACAAATATTGCCAGTATATGGGCTGTCGGTGGCGACAATGTATGTATCTTTATAGCCAAGAAAAATAACACAATAGAGAGAGAGTTTGAATAGATCGAAGAGTTCGCTGAAGAAGCTGGCTATCCTGTCGGCGGTGATTTTCCCGTAAAATATTATGTGATTGAAATGCCGTATGACAATGCAAAGCGAGCTTCGAGTAGGATGTTGTGTGTCAAATAAAGACAGTAACCGTTGTTGCTTTCTTTTTAGATCGCACTGATAGCTCAGGCATTCGATTTTACATTAGCAATGAACTTCGTCAACATGATCTTGGCTATCTTTCATTCTGCACATATGCAAATCCTGCCGCCCTTGCCATTCCACCGCGAGTCGATAGATTTAGCATCGACTCTTATTGTTCTCCTCGAGCCACTCAGGTATTTATCCAGTACAATAAGAATTTTTCATAGATTTGTTCTTGGTTTTATAGCATTTTCCTGAATCCGGTATCACACTTCTGTCAGCCTTTCCTCACACTCACTTACAAGGCAAACAAATGATTTCAATATGACTTCAAGTCACTTTTCGACATTTAACTAAATAGGTCACAGTATATGGACGAAATTGATTCGAAATAATACAGCTGTTCAATATTTGTTCAACGTTGAAGCCTACAATTTCAATTATCAGTTTGAG